ATTCGAATTTAAGAGATAAATGGAATAATAACCGAATTTAAGAGATAAAAAATTAATTCTAAAAATAATCAAATTTATTTTCCAATAATAAATTATAATTTGTTTGATATTTATTTAATTTCATTTCCTTTTTAATCAGTCTATAAACTCTAATTTAACTATAACCGTTGATCAAATAAATGAACGACTCATATAGGTTTGTAAAAATTAGTATTAAATAATTGATTTTAGTAAATGATTATGCATCTCTCTATCTACAGTAGGTGATTATGCCCCTCTCTTTATGTAGACTTAGGGATCGTGCGTAAGAATAGATCTCCATCTTTGGTCACTTTTAATCTTATGTCCACTCATGAATTGCGTCTTTAGAAGTGAATTGATTTGGTTTATCTCGGTGCATCTTATTAGTATTGATCTTCAATTATGATTGATCCAATGATGGAGATCCTTCTCACAATAACTTACCTTCTCACCGAAACCCAACCCCTTTATATGTATATGGTAATTTTAAATTACAATAACGTCCCTTAATTATCATCTTAAATATTTTTATTAAAATAATTGAATTAATAGATATGACTATACAACTATATCTCCTAGTTCCTATAATTTATGGAGTTCTCAAATAGTTACCATCTTACTTTATTACATTAAGGGGTTGTTTATTTACCTCTTAATAGTTCTATTAAAAGGCAACATCTGAATCGTTAAGATGTGAATCTTGTTTGGTAAAAAAAAGTTTGACTCTTAATGATTCTAAAACCATCTGAATAATTTTGTATCTTAAGCCTCCCTTAACTATTAAGCGCCTAAATTTCATTGTAAACAATTACCAAACAATTATATTTTATTGTGCACTATATCATGAGAGTCTCTTAATCATTCTGCACCAAACTATTAAGCAACTACCAAACAACCCCTAAGTATATATATTTTAAGTTAATTACAGTATCCCTAATCCATAACTTTAGTTTAAGGATGAAAAGTAAATAGTGTAGAATAGCTGAGGGGCCATTTATGCAATTCCACACTTCTACTATTTTGAAGAGGCACGATTAAAACCTACAGTTGTAACAAAAAAAGGATGAGTCAGCTTCCGGCTCGCATTCTGATTGGCTAAAAGATCCGACGTGGAAGTAAAATGTCGTCATAGATACTTATCTGGTAGTCCAACCCCAAGGGCAGTCAGAATCAGTTAGCGTAAACCTTATGGCATTTTTGGTAATTTACTCCAAATAGAGGGGCACATTCAATTGCTTCTCCTTTCCATTTTCGACCCTTCCTATATAAATACGACCCCTTTGTATAGTGTCACAAAATTTCCTCCGCCGGCCAAACTGTTGTCGCGATTTCGAATTACCGTCGATTTCGTTAGAATTCGGCATTAATTATGTGTGGATTTTGATAATTCTACACTCCAAGTTTGATTTTAGATTGCTTTGATTTTGGTTTGTTCGGTTTCTGTCTGTGTGTTTTGCTTGATCGATTCAGAGCAGGCAGCCTTCAGGTATTGTACTGTTCGGATCTAATACTAAAGCTTTTCTTACGCATCTGTGTGTTTACATGCAGGAGGTTACGGTGAACTGTGAATATTAGCTCTCTATTTGATAGATCGGAGTGGTTGGATTGATTTGTTTGATGAATTGTTGATCTTGGATGATTATTTGCGATGTATGATGTGCTTCAAGTGTTAATGTGTGTATCTATGGTTTTACTTGGATTTATGTTGAAAATATTAATTTTTATTACATTTTTGCATACGGATCTGAGGATTGGTGTATTGTAGGTATTTCTTGGAAAGGAGATTGGTGTAATTTAATGAGCGCATCATCTATTCAACATCGGTTAATTAGGTTTTGATTGATTTTTCTAAATGATGGATTAGATGTGTCAGTGGTTTTTATGTTGAACATATTTTTTCTTCTCAAGCTCTAGAACAATAGGAAATGTTGGGCTTTTTTACATGTAGACATGTGTTTTGGAGTGTGCATGCTAAACCGGGGAAGAATCATCACAATATTCTTGTACTGATATTGGCTTGATCTGTAGTTCAGAGATCTTGAATGAATAGGCCGGGTCAGTTATTGGAATATGTAATGGTTGTTGATTGTGTTTGTTATGAAAAAAGCTAAAGATATACGGTCACAATGGGATAACATGAATCTTGAAATGTGGAACGGTGATTGCCTGACAGATCCTTTTCCAGAATCCGGATCTCTCAATCAATTTATTCAGTGGTTGGACATTGCTATGTGTAACAATGAGCAAACTATCTCAATCATTTATTCAGTGGTTGGACATTGCTATGTGTAACAATGAGCAAACTATGTGCTATGTTTCTTTGAGATATTATGGTTTAGTATCTTTTCCTCTTTGTGGGTACACCTTTTAGTTGCCTCTGATGTAATTTTTGATGCCTAATGTCTTCAAATTTGCAGATCTTAAGTGATGGCGCAAGCAGCTGGAAATTCAGGATGGCTGAGAGGAAAAGTAAAAGCTGTTTTGTCTGGTGACACCTTGGTGATTATGGGATTTACCAAAGCTGAAATCCCCCCTGAAAAGACTGTCGTTTTAGCTCATCTTTCCGCTCCAAGATTAGTATGTCTACTTTAACATCCACTTCCTTGGTCGTATATCATTATGTTATCTTTTCGGTGGCAACAAAAATTTGCTAATGTTTTGTGCAGTTTATTTTATCACACTTCTTTGCAAAGAATGCACTGGGTATATATTCATATATTTGATCTAAACACTGATTTGGTTTTTAAGCAAATTTTTGAATGAAGTCAGTCTTCATTTCATTTTATTCTGGCTTTAGTAACTGCAAATTTTTAACAGGCTTCTAAATTTTCTTTTGAGACAGTTGTCTATTACTATAAATAGTGCCACCACTAACTCTCACTTCCCACTTTTTAAAAGCCATAACCAGTGAGTGCTAAACTTGGTGGATAAAATTAGCCTGTTATCCAAAATAAGCGATACTATTATGTTGATTTATGTGCCAAGATCTGTAATTTCTCTTTTTCGCTTCATTGAGCTTTTTGAACTTGTACTATGAATTATACTTGGATATATCTAATTTCTGCTACCAGAAGGCTTGATTATTGACAACGGAATTTTTTACTACAAATAGTGCACCATTCACCACCCACTTTTTAAAAGCAATAATGAAGTGACTGCTAAACTGGTAGATAAATTGGCTTGTTTTCCAAAATAAGTGATACTATTATGTTTATGTATGCCAATTTCTGTAATTCTTTTTACTTCAGTGAGCTTTATGAACTTGTACTATGAATTATACTTGGATATGCTAATTTCTGCTACCAGAAATCTTTATTATTGCTATTGGAATTTGCTAAGTAATGGTTTGATTTTCTTCCTCTATATGTAGGCACGGAGAGGTGGCCAGGATGACCCATTTGCATGGGAAAGCAGAGAATATCTACGGAAGCTGTGTATAGGAAAGGTTCTGATTCATAAAACCCTATTTCTACTATTAATGCTTCATTCTATCATCAACTAATCTAAATATTAATCTTGGTTCATCTATTTGTTTACTAGGATGTTGTTTTTAGAACGGAATATACCATTCCAAATTTCTCCCGAGAATTCTGCAGTGTTTTCATTGGCACTACAAATGTTGGGAACGAGGTTGTCACTCACGGCTGGGCTAAGGTAGTTCAAGTTCTTTTACTTGCATTTACAACTTATTTAGTTTCACCTTGGCATATGACATAGCTGCACTTACTGATCACAGGTTAAGGAGGCTAAAGGAGAGGTGACTCCTGAGCATACTGAATTGCTACGCCTTGAAGAACAAGCCAGACAACAGGGAGTAGGTTTATGGGACAGGGTTAGTTACTGTCTCTTAACCCAATTGATTGCTAGTTATTTGGTTCCTCGTCATATGGTAAAGCTGAATATGGTTAATGTTTGGGTTTAATATGGAACAAGTACCATACTTTCTATTGAAATGGATATTGAATATAAGTGTTGCATTTGCATGAGCAAACATGACTCTGTTTGGTGCGTGACACATTTTTTGAAGCACGTGATTGTACAAGGTGGTCTTTGTTTTTGCTTCTTTAGCTATCAATGCTTCTTTCTTCTCTTTTAACTAAATAATTGGGATCATCCAACTCTGATTTTGTTAACAAAATGATAAATCTATCCCAAAATATCATTTCTTCAAAGCGATGATAACCGATCATTTCTTCAAACCGATGATAACCAAAAAAGAGGAAAGATAGAGAAGGGAAGTCGCTATTCAGCTAGCAGTATATAATTGAACTCTTAGTGTCATAGCCTCTACTATGTTGCTCATTATACCCCGTGTTCTATAGAATATTATAAAAGCATCGAAATGTTTACCCTTGAACAAAAGAAGTCAATTTCTTTTCATGGTCATGAACAAATTATCATGAAGCTCATCATGAACAAGTTCTTATGCTATTACCCATCTCTTATTGGCATTTTCTTCCTTCTTCTGGGTTAGTGTATTGCTTCTTATCTCTTGATATATGGGCATTCAACCTGATACTCTCCACAATATGAAGTAGCATAGGATCCCTGATGCTAATTTTGCAATAAGGGAGGGATTAGTATTTTCCAATAAAGATAGCTTAATTTGGTGAGATTTGCATTTAACAAATACTATTGCTTGCAAATTGCACTACGAGAGTCTACATATCCTTTTGTCATTGAACAAGCTAATTCTTCTACGCGTGTGAGATGCTAATTGCTCTTTGGTAATCTCGAGTTTTCTTCTTTTTGCAAGTCCATTTATATATGATTTAATGACAATGTGCTTCATCATTGATATTTGGTAATGAGCACATATTCATTACAAACTTGGAACTTTTTCTTGTTATGCTGGAGCCCCACCTTTGAAAAATTATCAATGTATTGGAAAGCTGTATTGTTATCTGTTTGATGATATGTTGCTATTCTCCTGCTGTCTTTTAGTCTCCGGGTTCTGTTGAGGCAGCTATCAGGAACCTCCCACCATCTGCTGTTGGTGATCCCAGCAATCTGGATGCGATGGGGCTTTTAGCTACAAACAAAGGCAAACCCATGGAAGCTATTGTAGAGCAAGTTCGTGATGGGAGCTCACTTCGTGTTTATTTGCTTCCGGGGTTTCAGTTTGTCCAAGTATTTGTTGCTGGAATCCAGGTAGGGAGTGCATCCTTAATTTCTTATTCTATTTGACTATTTGCATTCATACTTTTTTATATGGTATTTGTTTGGAGCTTCTGTGTTGATGCTTTGCTGTGCGTACAAACTTATTACTTTTTTCCTAACTAGTCCCCATCGATGGGAAGAAGGACAACACAAGAATCTACTATAGTAACTGAAGTACCATCCGATGAACCAAATGGAGAAGCTAATGCGGAGTCTCGTGGCCCCTTGACATCAGCCCAGAGAGTTACTGCCTCATCAACCTACAATGAAGTTGCCGCAGACCCCTATGGGAGGGAAGCTAAACATTTCACTGAGATTCGTGTGCTAAACAGAGATGTGAGTAATGTCTTAATTATTTGTGCATTATTGAATCGTCAAGGGAAACAGACTTTTTGCATATGTGTAAGGGAAGGGCCGCTTGCAAGTTGCAAGGACTTCCTCCAACTGTTGTAAAGCCAAGGAGTCTTGGTGCAATGTGGTCTCCCCTTCATTGATTTTTTTGAAACACTTGATCAAACTTCAGCTGTGAGAGTGAATCTCTATTCTCTGCTTAATTCAACTTCTGTTGTGAGCGTCAGAGTGCTTATTAAAAAAGATTACGCAATGGATATGATTTGACAAGTTATTTGACAGAAGTTGAGTTGCAAGATTCTCCACTTTGCACTCTCTCTATGTTACTGCTTCACATAGTCTAGCTGATGATGTAACCTGCAGGTCCGCATTGTTCTCGAGGGTGTTGACAAGTTCAGCAATTTGATTGGTTCTGTCTATTACTCCGATGGTGAATCAGCAAAGGACCTGGCAATGGAGCTTATTGAAAATGTATGTTGTGTTCTGTATGTCTTCAGTATCTGATGTATCAGTCTACATTATCATTGCTGTTTTTATAGCATATTATGCTACCAGTTCCTTTTATTTGTCTATTTTCCTGTTCCCTTTATTTGTCAACCACTTCCATTGTTCCAATTGTTGCAAAAAATGATTTGCTCATTGTGCAATTAGGAACTTAACGGGTCTGGATGCATTTAGCCCTTTTTGGGGCTTCCTTTATTGCCTACACTGGATCTCATGTGCTTCCAGGCTAGATTATAGAGATATATGCCATATAAAAGATGTCTTAGTAATGTGTTATGTAAGCTTCATGTTTATGGATGTTCTCTAACATTCTAATCAAGTACAAATAAAGTTAAGACGCTAACTTCCTTGCAAGAGCTTTGGAAGTCTCTTTTTTATCGTCAGTAGTGCTCTGAGTGGTCTGACTCTTCTTCCTTCTGCTGTATGTCTATGCATGGTTTATATGCTTGAATGCTGCTATATTCTCTAGTGTTGAAGTTGCAGTCTTCTGGGACTCCTGGCATACATATTCATTATCCTCTACCATGAAACAGGAACAGTAATCTGTATTTGCCATAAATCATCTTCTTTCTCTCCTGAAGCACATTACTAGAAGAATATGTCAATTTTCTGCACTCTTTTCACAGTTGCAGATGTATTGTACTCTGTCCAAATAAATATCTCTACAACCCTGCTCTTTTTCTAATAATGGGAGCTTCTCTCTCCATTCAATGCACATTGCTGCGTCTCTCGCTCGATATGTAAGGAATTTGTTTGACTTTTTGTGGATCAAAATCAATTACATTTTTATTACGATAATGGGTGGCAATAGTTTCCTTTTGAACTTTCCTAACTAGGAAATAGTGGGATACTAACAGGATATCCGAACAAAGTGTTACAGTTTTCTTGGGTCAGAGGGAGTATGTTTTATGGGTTTCTTATATGATGAGACGTCACAATATTTCCTCTAGGCTGTTAAAATGAATTTAGACGATGATAAATTGGTTGCCAGGGTGATCGCATGTGCGTGCTTTCTGGTTTTACAAAAATATGAATTGGGGAGTTAGTGGTTAACTAGTATCCTAGCATTTGCTTAGTTTTTATCTTAGTGACTAAGAAGGCTAATCTAATTTTTGTATTGCTCCTTGTTCATCAAGTTGATTATTGTTCTTATAAGAGTTGAAGCTGCAAAATAATGTTCATTTATTTGGCACCCTCTGAAATGGTTGCCTTCTCTTATCTTGTTATCTCCTCCCTGTGTAGGGATATGCTAAATATGTCGAGTGGAGTGCAAGTATGATGGAAGATGAAGCCAGGAGGAAGTTGAAGGCTGCAGAACTTCAAGCAAAGAAGACCAAGTTGAGGCTTTGGACAAACTATGTACCCCCAGCCACTAATTCAAAGGCGATATCAGACAATTTCACTGGAAAGGTTGGCTTAAGAAAAAGCTTCATGAACTACTTTTTGTCTTCCATTTTTCTCAAAGTTTATTTAGAAGTATTTTTCTCTTTAACTTTCTACAGGTAGTAGAAGTTGTTAGTGGGGACTGCATCATTGTTGCGGATGATTCTCTTCCATTCGGCAGTCCAGCAGCTGAGCGACGAGTCAATCTCTCAAGTATCAGGTGCCCCAAACTGGGAAATCCACGGAGAGAGGAGAAACCTGCTCCTTATGCCCGTGAAGCAAGGGAATTTCTGAGAACAAGATTAATTGGCCGTCAAGTAAAGACACTTTTTCTTTTAATTTCATTTTAATGTTTATATGTAACTTGGAACGGGAAATTGGAGGTTAATTTTAATGCTTTCAATAACTTTAGGTTCAAGTTTCAATGGAATACTCTCGGAAGGTCCCCCTTGCCGATGGATCTGCTGCCCCAGCTGGGCCAGCAGATTCAAGGGTAATGGGCTTTGGATCAGTCTTCCTCTTGTCTCAAGGGAAGGAAAGTGAAGATGTCTCTGCTGCTCCCCCTACAGCAGTCACTCAGCAGCCTGGTGTGAATGTTGCTGAACTCGTTATTGCTCGTGGGTTTGGCACTGTCATTAGACATAGAGACTTTGAGGAAAGATCAAATTACTACGAGAATCTTCTTGCAGCTGAAACTCGTGCTACTGCTGGAAAGAAGGGAATTCATTCTGCTAAAGACCCTCCTGTTATGCACATTATGGATCTCTTGACGGTTAGAAACTCTAAACTACTTATTTGTTTATGGCCTGTGTGTGTTTGTGTAATATTTTAACATTTTTTGTTTATATCGTGATTTCTTCAGGCCTCGGCCAAGAAAGCCAAAGATTTCCTCCCGTTTCTGCAACGAAACAGGAGGATGACTGCTGTTGTTGAATACGTCCTTAGTGGTCACAGATTTAAACTATTTGTCCCTAAAGAAACATGCAGCATCGCTTTCTCATTTTCTGGGGTCAGATGCCCTGGACGTGATGAGCCTTACTCCAATGAAGCAATTTCACTTATGAGACGGAAGATAATGCAGAGGGATGTAGAGGTATTAGTCTTTTTTCATCCTAGTATTACTTGTATTTCGTTTGTGTACGCATGCATAAAATTTCCATTTTTATTATAGTTTTTCCCAAAGTAAGCTCCTACTTTTCAATTATACCCTTAATTATAGGATGAAGAAATTCATTACCCCCTCTATTATTAAGGGTAAATTTGTTATTTAGTGAATTAAAAAGTGTAATAGTTACACATTTCTAACACTGTCTTTTTCATTGTGGACATTTATTTTGGGACAAGGGAATATTAATTCATCTATTAAGCATGTTTTTTGTTTTCTGGTTTCAGATTGAAGTGGAAACAGTTGATAGAACTGGTACCTTCTTGGGCTCTTTGTGGGAATCAAAATCTAATGTGGCAATCATTCTTCTGGAAGCTGGACTTGCAAGACTTCAGACGTTTGGCGCTGATAGGATTCCAGATGCTCATCTTCTTGCTCAAGCCGAGCAGTCTGCCAAGAAGCAGAAATTGAAGGCAAGAAGCTTGGTTTTGCATCTCAGTGAGTATTAAATTGTGGAATCAGAGCTCTAATTGATAGTATTTTTTTTTTTTGGCAGATATGGGAAAACTATGTGGAAGGAGAGGAAGTTACTAATGGTGCAGCTCCTGATAGAAAACAGAAAGAAGAATTCAAGGTCTTTAGAATTGTGAATTATTGATTTACCAAAGACTAATCTGTATGAAACCAGTTTCAGAATTTCAAAAATTTAAATGGTTTGCTTTCAGGCCGTGGTGACTGAAGTCCTTGGCGGAGGCAAATTCTATGTTCAGAATGTTGCAGATCAGAAAGTTGCTTCCATCCAGCAACAACTTGCTTCTTTAAACCTCAAAGAAGCACCCGTGCTTGGTGCATTTAACCCAAAGAAGGGCGATATTGTTCTCGCTCAGTTTAGTGCAGATAACTCTTGGAACCGAGCCATGGTAAGAGTAATTTAACTTCAAATGAGTTGAAATAGTGATTGCGAGGCCTGGATTCCCGAGTTTTGGCGGAGGGGGGCGGGCGGGGTTATCGCCAAAGGACTCTGCCCTTCCATCCCTAGGATAGATAGAGAGGCAGGACAGAGCTTTTGGTTATGTATGGCCGTGCCTAAGAAAATATTGGTTGAAGTAGATTCTTCTTTTATATATCTCCTTTATCGCTGAGCGGTCATTTAGGGGCCTTAGGGCCTGTTTGTTAGCTGTTTAATGGGCTTAATGAGACTCATGACTTATTCTGTCAGCTATACATGACTGTTTGGTCATGGCTTAATGATATAGAAAGTGGCTTATTTAGTAAGCTTCTAGGGGGGAGCTTTATGTAGAAAGCCAAGTTTTTCGCAAGCCTGCCCCTCCCAATTAAAAAACACGGTCCTTCCATCTATGAAAAAACTTTCCCAAATAAAAACCTTCCTACTATATACAGACAGATTAATCCACACAGACTGCTTTATCCCACACAGGACTTAGTGGAACACTGGCCAAAAAGCCCTTTAGCTAGTGATCCGGGCTGTTTAGCTTATCACCGATCGTCTCATTGGTCGACCTTGACCCCTGTTATTTTGAGCCCAAATCATTGGTCCGGTACCAGATGTTGTTTTCCTGCCCGGCAAAATGCTTAATATTTAGAACGATCTTTCAATCTCATGAATTCCTCGTGTCTCATGAATTTGATCCTTGTTTCTTTGAATGATGTGTAAGGTCGTAAGCGCTCCACGTGGTGTCGTTCAATCGACTAAAGACAGATTCGAAGTCTTTTACATCGATTATGGAAATCAAGAAGCTGTTACATATACCCAGTTGCGTCCACTGGATGCATCGGTATCGTCTGCACCTGGGCTGGCTCAACTTTGCCAACTTGCTTACTTAAAGGTACCGACTTTGGAGGAGGATTACGGTCAGGAAGCAGCCATGCTTCTAAGCGAAAGCACACTTAACGGGCCAAAGGAATTCAGGGCAGTGATTGAGGAGAGGGATACTTCTGGAGGAAAAGTGAAAGGGCAAGGAACCGGAACTATTATTTTGGTAACTTTGATTGATGAGGAAGCCGATACGAGTGTTAACGCCATGATGCTGAAGGTTGGTATTTTTGATTTAAAAGCGATTTATGGGTAAAAGGACAATTACACATATTTAGACGTTTATCAGATAACAAAAAACACAGTTTTATTGATTCTGCTTTCAGACTTTAGCATCACCTCCTATCAATCAGAAGTGAAATAAGACTTCACAATCTTCTTGATTCTGCTTTCAGACTTTAGCATCACTTCTTATCGATCAGAAGTGAAATAAGACTTCATATTCTTCTTGATTCTTTTGCTTTCAGACTTTAGCACCACCTCTTATCAATCAGAAGTGAAATAAGACATTAGAATTCTAACACCTCTTGAAAAACAAAAATGCACCTTGGCCTCAGTTTTTTTTTTTTTTTTTTGTAATGATCTGAAAATGGTGGTGCAGGGAGGACTAGCAAGGTTGGAGAAAAGGAGGAGATGGGAGCCTAAAGACCGACAAGCTGTGCTGGATGAATTAGAAAAGCATCAGACAGAAGCGCGTACCAAAAGATTGGGAATGTGGGAGTATGGTGATATCCAGTCTGATGACGATGAGAACCCTCTGCCTGCTAAGAAAACAGGTGCTGCTGGCAAACGTTAAAAAGAAATAGGAAGTTGGATGTTTTTGGAGATTTTCGTTTGTTCTATTTAATTTTATTTGGGAGCACAATTTTGTTTTGCATTCTGTAGTAGTTTAATTTATACGACTTAATAAAGCGAGCAGTAATGGCAGGGACATGAGTTGTTAAGCGGTACGGATGTTTGTTTGTGATATAAGCTTACTTTTCGGAGTTTAACTTACTTCCATTCTCACATTGATTTGTTTGTAGGGAGTTGATTCCCTTGCAGGTTTCAAATCCATTGAACAAAGTTTGTAGTCTCATGGTGGCTTTATTTTACAAGTACACACACCAATTGAAATCTAACATAACGAAAACGACTGTTCTATTCTTCTTTCAGCATATTCTACTCTTTTTGTGCAACATACCGGGTTTGTTTGGTTTTGCATCTTCAAAAACATCTAAACTGGCATGGTTTTTTGTTCATTAACTTTTCTGAGTTTGATCTTGTAAAATATAAAATGACAAAGGCTTATCCCCAGGGGAAGACTCTACTCTTCAAGATATATGATAGGGTCTTGTGGAGCCTCAATTTTTATTTCTTTTTCTTTACTGTTCTGGTATGGTGGTATGGATTATTTCAGGGAATCATGTTTTATTTGCTATGTAAATTTTTTTCTTCTTCTGAGATTGGCTGCATCAGTTTCCATTTGATTGTAGATGTTCCCAAAAGAAAGTCATGATAGATGTAAATTTTACAAGAGCAGTATTAAAGCTTTCAATGAAACAATCATCTGTCTCAATTTTTAACTTCTTCTTCATGTCTATTGGTCATACGAATACACGGAACAAGTGAGATAATATGAATGTAAATGTGAATTAGATAGATATAAAATAAATAAATATCTGATGTATGATCTCGCTGTTGGATAGGAATGAGACATTTGATTTTTATCCACCTACAAGTGTCTTATTTTCATGAAAAAAATCTCTCGTTTATGTATAAAAGAATTTGATGAATTATTTAAAAAAGAGAGAAAAATACAGAAAAAAAGAAAAGAAGACAGCTTGTAATTAGATTATAAATCTTAGGACCAAAACTAAAAGCCTAGATTCTACCATAACTGAGCCTAATCTGACCCCTAAAACTGCTCTTTGATCTTTCTCCCTCGATCTTCATGACTTGTTTAGCTAGCTGTCACGCCTTGTATTCCTCTTATGATGAGCAGCTGCGGCATCCTCATCATCTGCCTCACCACTTGAGGTTTTGCCAACATCCTTCACCTTTCCCTGACCAAAAAACAACAATAAAGGATCCATTTCAATTCCAATGGAATTTTGACATGTGCTTCAGTCTTTCTTTAACCTCCGCCAAACCTATAGTCCAAATTGTTAATTGTTTAGGTTTTACCTCTTTTTTATGTTTAACACTAAATAAATGGGAAATCCAAAAACCATGAAAAACGGATGAAAAAGTACATCAATATGGATGCCAAATTAACTAGAAAAATATGATCGTTTTTTGGTGTAATTTATTTTCAAGTATTTTGCTTATAGAAAAGAAGTGGAGAGTTTATTCAGAAAAGCTTGCTACTCACTGATTTCTTCCTGTTACCCAACAGGATCTTCAACAAGGGACTAACAATCACAACAACAATCGAAATTATGATTCCCACCACAATGCTTGGTTGTTTCTCAGCCTCTTCAATTAGTTCCTGCAACCACAAAAAGAAAACAAATTGAGTTCCAAAATCTTGTCAATAACAACACCTATTAAATGACTTACCAAAACCTTCATCTTGTGGTCACCCAAGAAAGGTAGATCAGCAATCTTGTGAAGGACATCAAACACAACTTTCTGCGATTCATGTTATAAGCATATAAATAAATAAATAAATAAACAAATAAAAACAGTCGATGGAAGTTAAAGGAGAAGAAAGTTAATTGCTTTACCTGGGTTCCCTTGAGACCATCAAGACTAGCTGCTTGTTCTTCTATCGTTTGATTCTCTTTCTCAACTGAAAACTTTGGTTTCCATGTGGCATCCCTGATGGATGCTGCATCCTTCTCATCACTTGCTATCAAAATGTTGTCAAACAAGATGCCATCTTGCATTGTCCAGATCTCGATACCAACGGCAACAACAGGCTCAATGTTGAGCTTCCCAACTTCATAGTAGTTGGGGTTCGGGATTTCACGAGGCTTCCACACACCCATGTAATTTGGATTTTCGATAAGAGGAGGATACCATGGACCCTTGTAATCAGGGTTCCTCTTCATTGGCTTCGTCCACTCTCCACAACCTGGTGCAGACTCACATTTTGGGTTGTCAATTTTTGGACGCTCCCACTCTCCATCCTCCTCATCATCCCAATCTTCTGGCTTTACTGCTTCAAGATCATCAATCTCATATGGTTCATCAACTAGCCATCCCTCAGGCATCTCAGCATCCTCATCTATTATTTCTAAAGGTGCATCCTCAACCCAATCATCAGGTTTTTTTGCATCTCGGTCAGGAATCTTTGATCTGCCGTCCCAATCTTCAGGCATTTTATCTTCTGGGTCATGAATGGTCTTTTCAGGGCGTACTGGTGGATGAAAGTCTGCAGGTGACATTAAATCGGCTTTCTTTTCCTCTTTTCCATCGATCATGATAATCACCGTGTCATCCGGGTTCAATATGGCGGTGTATACATGGCTCAGTTTGTCTAAAGGCACTGAAGGAGAGGCCTTGAGATGATGTTCTTCATACTTCCCGTCCATGGGATTCTTGAGATTTACGATGAAATGGACCTTATCAGTGGAGCCACATTTATCAGGGCCAAACATAATCGAGTAGGGAGACTTGTTATCAAATTGCTTGGGAGTCCAGCCAGCTTCCTGTGGCCGTAGATATTTCAAATATGCACCACCACATTGAAGACCATTTTGGAGGCGAGTTTCAAATTGTAGAACAGTTGTGCGGTCCTTAAGCTCTAGAGGTTTGTCCAGCTCCTTCACAATTGCATACTTTCTAGCTTTCTCACTCACAAGAAGGCCATAATCATCATGTCCCTCACTCTTTGAGTGTTTCCATACACCTGAGTAACCACATGAATGAATGATTAGATTAGTTTGTGATATTGAAGTTACATTCTAGACCATGATGCATATTACATTGCATACTTAATTATAGACAGAGGTAAATGGAATCAAATTGAATAGGCTGATAACCCACTTTGATATCCAAGTTCAATTTCGAATTCAACCAGTGTTACCTATTGTAGATATTTGAATTCAAATTGAGCGGATGTTAAAAATCAAATACCTGAATTTGAATTTGAATTTGATGAACACTGTTTGAATTCAAAAATATTTAAATTCGACCAAGGAATTATATAAGAAATCTAAACATTTTTAAATTCAAATGAATAGTCACATAAAAATGTTTAGATTTATTATATAAGAATTCCAGATTCGCAACTTTACAAGGATGCAAGTATATGTAGAAAACAGAAACATGATATTTACATGAGTCATAAAAAAACGAGTTATATGCTATGCACATGGAACATTGAGCACAGCCAATCTGTCGCATCAACATTATATCTAATTCTTCTTTGGACGTTCAATGCAATTCAGAAAAAAAGATGAAGACACAAGGCAAGATGCATATATAGAAATCCTCTAGGGATTGAGTCGATTGAAAGATATCGAGCTTTCAAAATCACAAATAATCGGAGATCATGCAATGAAAGACTACCAATTTGTTACTACTATTTAAACAATCTTATAGTACACAAATCAACAATCTCATGCATGCATTTGATCAATGTGCCAACATGAGATCCAAACAATAATGAATTATCTTATCATTTCCAGATCAAGAGATCCTTGTACGTTAACACATTATCGTTCCTACAATCAGCAGCAGTTTTAGAAGAAACTGCAATTAACTAATTCATCTTTCCTTTTCAGATTATAATTAACAATTCTTTTATAAAATTTTCCGATCGTCCAGAATTTCATTACCTGATACACGAACAAACAACAGAACAATACACATTCTAGATCCAAACAGATCTCACCTAAATAGTCTTCTTTCTCAGATACAATCCAACTCTTCTCAAACGATTGATCAAACGACTCGTAGAATATCTGAACAACAACAACAAAATCGTTAATAATAATTCAGAAACCAAACACCGCATAACACAAACTCATAGATTCGATCACTCACAGTGCCGGAAGAAGCGTATATCTCCAAAACCAAACAACCGATCAAAAGCAAACAAAAGAACTGCAAACAACACATTCTCCGTTTGCTTTCCTCCATAATTGATCCGCCGATCAAATTCCACAGCAGACGTTTTGATCTGAATTCTCCAACGTCGTTATTGATGCCGGAAGAGAAACGCAGAGACGGTGCCACTTCAGTTTGTAGTGTGTATATATATATATGGATCTCGGGAGGGGTTACGTCAAATCGGTTTAACCAATAATATCGCTTGGCGCGGAAATCAAACAATAATAAATTGCCACGTAGATGTTTCAGGCATGGCTCGCGTCGTCTGCATTGAAGTACGAGATGAACGGCCGTGATCCGTAGAATGTGCTTTGTCTACGCTTCCGATGATAACACGTCGGCTCTTTGCAGTTATAGATTTTAACACATCGTCACTCGCAGAATGCTTTTTAATTTTATTAATTTACTCCTATTTTCGGTCTACGGGATAATTTTTATCTTAAAATAGAAGAGATCAAAACAGTAAAAAATTGTAAACCACATGGACTAAAACAACAATAAATTATAAATTATAAAGATGAAAATCTATAATATCTTATAAACCAGATTTGTCAAAAGTTTTAAAAACAATTTTTAATGCACAAAATACTATACATTTATGCACAAAGTCTTAAAAAAACACCTCATAATGCATTAAGTAATAATACTTTATGCATTTAATCTTAAAATCTCTTAATCTATAATTAAAATAACATATAGTTTACTTTTTCTTTTCATGTTCCCAAGTTACTAATGCACATTATTACCAATGCATTGTACGGGTACACACTAGTAACAACTAATTACAAACCATAAGAACCAAAACTATAGTTTTTAAAACATAAAGATGAAAATTACAATTTTTAATAAATTATAGGGACTAAAAATGTAATTTACTCTTTATGTTATTATAAGTTTTTATTTTTTTGCATTTTTCTGTTCTCAATTTTTTTGGTTAAATATTTTAATCAAACTACATATTATATGCCCCTCATGGTATGTAGTCCGGTTAACTTAAAGGATGAATGATTGTTGGCTCAAAAAGTCGTTGGTCTTGCAGACATTTTACATGTCTTGTTGTAAGGTGAGTCTTAGATAGCCCACTATATTAGATTCTTTAGAGGCTGGGTGCCGTGCGTCTGTGTGGAACCGGTTGAACTTGACTTTTTGCTCAAGAAACCACATGTTCTATCTTATTTGTTAAAAATACAATATTTGAGGAATCATATATTTTGACATAGATATTCAACTAAAGTTGGATTCACATAAGACCACTATTTTTTACTAGTTTAAGGCCATTATAAATAAAATCGACCCTAAGCCCTTTTATGCTTATTTCGCCCCCGTAACAAAACGTGATTCTGAATTCTGATGACCAAGGTATTTTTCGCACAAAAAAAAAAAACAAAACTTACCCACGATCAACCACGATGGTAAATGAAATGAGTTTGGTGGCAACGTCCATCAAGAGGCAATGACCAAAACGACATGATAAAATTAAAACCCAATATTTTCTAAACCCATCCCTCTAAGTCACCAGAGACTACTGAAATGTTCTCAATCTCTTGACCTTGAGGGAGAGAGTTCAGAAAAAAATGAATTCTAAATAACCTCACAACGGACGATCGAGATTCGAAGAGCCGTGTAGAACGAATGCAAATTGAGGGTCACAACTTATACGGTGCGTTATTGGGTTATAAATACTACGACCAACCATATATTCAATGAGAATTTCTTATTCCAAATTTCTCGTATCTGTATGTTTAACAAGAATGCTTGTTTCCCCTTGGATGATGCCAATTTCCATGTTTTCCAAGAAAACGCGGTTGATTTTGAAAGGAACTTCGACCAAACTTCTGTTAGATTTCCATGTAGTTTCTAATCGTTACTATTCGATGAAAATACTATGTTGGATTTTGTCATCTATGTTAAAATATTAATTGATTCCGACAAAATGATGTGATGTCTACGTGTAATTTTCAAACAAGGCAAGAGATTGCGAGTTGTCCGTACAACTTTTGGCACTTTGTGAGATTAGGCGAACCTTTGCATTATCCAATCCACTGGTCCAATAAGGTTTTAGATATAAAAAATTACGTCTCAATGTTCAGTTATATAAAAATATGTTTCAATTTCAAACTGCATCTTTTCTGTCTAAAACTCTTCTATAAATCCAAATCTCTGCTCTTTTTGTTTCTCACTGCTCGCTATAAAAGTTTAGATCCCAAAACTCCTTCTCTCCATCTCAAGGACGTTCCTATTTGGATCCTCGTTATCTTCTTATTGGGGGTTTCTTCGTCATTCAGTTTGTTTTTTAAAATGATAAGATACAGATACACTATTTGAATGCCTGATAAAGTTTTATTTGAAAGCAGTATTTCATTTACTACTGATCTCTTTTGTTTTTTGGATTCAAGAGAGAAAGAGAGACGAGTTCAAGAAAAAAAAAAAAGAAAAGAACAAGTGAGCATATGATAATTAGTTTAAACCGTAAGGATGATTGTATTTTTTTTTTACGTAATTGCCCATTTTTTTCTTTTTTTTTTCTCGAAAAAATATCTACGTAAAGTAAAGAATGAACGGTTTGAAAATTAGCTTGAAAATGTAACTAAAAAAATAAATAATAATGAGAAGATAGACTATTTTACTCACAAATATATATACATATATATATATATATATATATATATAAGTTATTATGCAACTATTTACATTTGTACAATCAATACAATTAAATCTCAACTCGTCCTTTTAATTTGATTAATATGTAATTTCTTAAAAGTTTTGATTGATTTATAATATAAAATATTAATTATAATTAATTAACTTTAGTAATCTTTTATAAATATTCAAATCATAATAAATGAACTCATTATTTTTATAAATATCTAAATTGATTGAGTTGTATTGATTGTATAAATAGACATGGTTATATTTGAAATGTACCCTCTCTCTCTCTCTCTCTATCTCTCTCTCTCTCTATATATATATATCTATACTATCTTATAATGCATTTGGCTCAAACTCTTAAAGTCTTAAACTCTTAAAAACAATTTCTATTGCTTTAAGTACAACCTACTAAAGCATACCATCCTAACCACCCCTTCCTAAACCCAATCCCATTTTTATCTCCCCTAACCCAATCCCATTTTATCGCCCCTAATTCCCAATCCCATTTTTATCTATCGCAACCCTAATCCCAATCGATGAAATCGTTTAATTCCCAATCCCATTTTTATCGCAACCCTAACCCAAGTAGATGCTTTAAACTGCAGATTAAGATATGTTCCAGCATTTCAAATCATCATCGTGAACATTGGCAACTGTCATGGAGTGGTAAGTATATGATATTGACCCTTGATTTTACTTTCATTAATTTAACATAGGACCTTTGCTGTATAATATAGGTTAATCTTGAATGAATCTAAACTAACGAGGTTGAAGCATCACTTTTTAGATACTTTGGCATTATTAAAGAGCTTATACAAATCATTTATTCGATAGTGTTTTTGTTTTAGATTTAGGCTTATTGAACAGTACCATTTTCTTCTTGCTCGGTTGATACACCAACATCTTCTAACTTACTCATCCAGGTAACTTCAATGGCTAACATTGTTCATCGTCAACATCCTCACTTTTTAGATCGTGTCAAACTACAATTTCTTATTTGCTTATTCTATCTTGATGTTAATGATTTAGGGGTTGTTTACCTAAATGTTTACCCGGTAAGTGATTACTGATATGAGTCAACACTATAATTTATTTTGATGCGTAAGATTTTATTACATCAAAACGTATTGAATGCAATACTTTACCTGGTAAGCGCTTACATGGGTAAGAGTCGTCATCTTCACTTACCCAGTAAGACTCTTCATCCTTCTCATCGCTCTTACCTTTGTCATGTTCATCCGATGAGAAAATTCATTCTGTAAGCACTTACCAAGTAAACGTTTAGTAAACGGCCCCTTAGTTCCGTAAGAGTCGTATTTTGCCATCATCAAAGCATACTAGATATTTGATGTTATCCTTAAACAATATATCCCTTCTAAGGTGAAATTTGAAACTAATGTATTTTATCTTCTAGAATTTGGACTTCTTTTATGAAATTTTGTACCATTGTTAATTATCAACTCATTTGACTATAAAAAATCAATGAACATGCCTGATACAGTAAATGACCAGATACGAAGCTTGTAATTTATATTGCTTGGTTCTATTTCATCCTCCAGAAAAGATTATGGAGAAAAACTTCTTTAACTTATGTATATGTATTTGCTTTTACTATTTATGTTCTTCATTTTGTATAAGCAAATCCTTAAGATTCTCCATATCTTGCAACTATTAGAGAAGGGATGCTCATGTACACATTTGTTTCTTTACCACTTAAGAATTCATATATGATGCGCCCTTCTTTTGAAAGCAGGGTTGTCTATGCTTTCTCTAAATTTGTTTATTCTCATATTGACCATATGCCTGATACAATAAATGACGACGTGAAGCTTGTAGTTCATTTTGCTTGGTTCTACTTCATCCTCCGGAAAGGATTATGGAGAGAATTTTCTTTAACTTATTATTCATGACCTAGCAATGCTTTTGGGTCAAGAATCAACATTCATGTGGCATCCAATACTAATATATCTTTAACTTATATATGTTGGTGTTCTATGATGCGCTTCTTAATGAAATTTTGGGTTATTGGTATTGTGTAGGTTATTTTAGTGGAACTTGACGTATGATATATCTTCATGAAATGGTTCTGGTGTTGCATTGATCTTGAGTTTTGTCACAATTGTCAAGATGTGAAGATGCAACTCATAAATCAGACAGCATCCTGAAAACATATATAGACGACAGGGAAACTAAAAGGTAAGGTACATCATGGTCGCTTGATTAAGTTTCCTTAGTTTTAGTTTAGACTCATGGCCGCTTGATTAACTTTCCTTAGTTTTAGTTTATACTTCTTGTAGCCTGGTTGATAAGCTCTATCCACAATATTAATGGTTTTTGTTGCTACGTTGTATTGTTGTCAGGCCCAAATCTACATGCATCTATACTATATTATACTGCATTTTGAATGTAACTCTTAAATATGTGTTAGTCTATTTGTACATGTTTTGTCATGCTCCTGTCAACAGAGCTGTTTCTTCATTGTTTGTTCATGCTCCTATCATTAATATTAGTTGGTTGGTTTGTGGCTTGAGGTGTGAACAGTGCATACAGAGGTCTAATAAATTAACCACACTGACTACTGTAATGCAAAAAACATCTGTGTGCCTGCTGTAATGCACACAACACCCCTGTACCTTTGAATTACGATTGCATTTTTCAAATATTATTTTCAACTGGAACTTAGACACAGCAAAGCAATTGCCTACTGCTTATGATATGTGTTAAAACTGCTCTTACCGGGTTTGGATAGTGCAAGCATATGATAAATTTACATTCTGCATTTACATTCTYTTAAAAATAGCTAAGGGTAATAAATTTCATTGTTTGAGTCTAATTAATTCTACAGTAGCCATATTAAGTCTTAGGATCAATACAGTAGCCAAGGATCAATATAAAAACCAGCATCCATGTGCCTGCTATATTACTGTTGTTGTATGCACATGATGCCAAGTTATTCCATTGATTTGCTTTATTGGCCCCCATGAACCATTTAAATGATAATAGGTACTATCGGGGTGGACATAATTCCAATGGTCTTTGCAATCTCATTTTGTTAAAGATCAAAAGGTCATTATGCCTTCTTTAATTTCTTATTTATAATTTGCTTTTGATTTTTAATATGAAGTCGTTAAGATGAAATGGAAAAACATATTTGTTAAAGTGAAACATATTTGTCTATAGTATATATGGAAAAACAGAAGAAACTCGTATGGATAACACAGCATCATGGTTACTTCTGGATGGRTTTTTCTTCTTCTGTAGAAAAGCAGGAATTACCAACCAAAATATCAAAATGGCAGGATTTCTCAACTAAAACAGCAGCCAAATAGAAGGTAAAAAAAATCTACCATTATATAATGAGTATTGAATACAACAACCAAATGAACATGTACTCTTTTTATCTCAGAATCTGCTTTCCAAATACCCAGGTTTGCTGATACGTTATAGATCTTTTGCTTGCACGGAGGACTTTCACCATCTTTGGACACACTAGACAACATTCGAGCCTTGGACTGCACACAAGAGGTACGTGAACTGGCATTTTGTCATCTTGGATAGGTAAAGATTGTTGTGGAGGAGGTTGGGAAGGTGTTCAATGTGATGAAGTCACTGGGAGGGTGACCAGAGTGGTGTTACATTGATCCATCTGAGAGAACACAATTATGTGGTCTTAATAAAACAAATTATGGTATAATCAGAATATAACATGATCAAAGGGATTAAACCACAAGTGTAGACGCAATGGTCCAGAGTTAAGGACTTGATCAATTTTCCCAAGTCTGGACGCATGGGCCTAAACAAAAAGTGTTTGTATGGATGTAGTTGGTGTTTTCTCTTGATCAATATTGTTTAATTATAGTTCCAAATGCTATTATCAATATGTCAAAGCTTGCTTTCTTTCTATCCTGCTACTTTACACAAATCATTAAAATTGATCCATGTTCTTCTGCTTTGGGATTGTGTTTGGATAGTGCAAGCATATGATATGTGTCATTATACATCGCACTCCTCAGTTAATCTTTAAAACGTGGTAGCTAAAGGGACGGTTTTGTGTGTAAAAATCAGCACCTAAAGGGGTTGTTTTGTTGCTAAAAATCAGTAGCTATGGGGCTGTTTTGTGGCTAAAAATCAGTCGCTAAAGAAGCTGTTTTGCAGATAAAAATCAGCCGCTAAAAATCAGCAACTATAAGGACTGTGCAGGCCCAGAACCGGCAGCTAAAGGAACTATTTTAGGGGTTGTTTAAGCTGTCCTAGGGGGCTATTATCAAATTTGAAAAGTATTAGACATTAGGCACTCAAAAGTATTAACCACTCTCACTCACATACATAAACCACCTCCATTTTCATAAGTGTAGTGTTGTACATATATCCTGTTTACATTAACATATAACCTGTTTCCATTAACATATAACCTGTTTCCATTTAACCTTGCTGTGTGATCGTGGGCTATGCAGTACATGTATGCATACATGATAATTTGAATTATTTGATGCAACATGTTAAATATCTTCATGTATTTCTGTTTATGTGTAATTCTACATGTTAAGGAAACGAGAAATAATCTATTATCGTAAAGAAGGGAGAATTGCTTGCTATAAGATCTATTATTTAAAAATAGATGTTGAAGGATAAAAGTTAAGTAGATCATAGAAGACATACACGTTTCAAATGCACCATAGGAGAGTGCAAAAAAAATCCAAAAAGGCTAATGAACTCTTATTTAGATTGACAAGTATATCATGCATTTTTTGGTGTATGAATGCAATGGTTATTTCTTAAAAGTTTGTTCCAATTTGGTTTCTTTAATTGTAGCCATTGCTCTGTGATCTGAACCCAAACTCACCAGCCAACTCAGAATTCTGCAGCTCATTTATTTCGCAGCTCAAGCGGCTAAGGGAAACTTTGTATGCAAAGAGTGAAATAAGTAAGTTCTTAGTTGATCAAGTTCTATTTCCATTTCATCTTACTTGAAAATGCTTAGTCAAAAAGATTTATTTGGTAAATACCGTCTATTTTCCATCTACATGCATTTTGTTAGCATCGCTGGTATCCCACATATGTTATAGAAGATTGATTTCTTAAGACTACATAAGCCGAGGCCATAAGCCATCATAGGTCAGGCAAGCATTCTTTGGAAAACATGTTAGGGTCCAATTAAAAATGACTTATGGCTCTTCTTGTAAAAGAGTCCTCTCATACACTTGTGTGTGGGCAAAGCTTCCAGGTCCATTACTGCTTGTGTGAAGCTTGTTAAAAAATTCAATCATGCCAGGGTCTACACCTCAAATGCCGTCTATTAAGAAGTTTTACGTGATGAATAAGGTATAATCAACAATTATATTATTACACATTTGGTACCATATGTTTCTATTAAAACCATTGCGCTGTTTTCTACAGGAAATATTTACGAATGAGTGCATCACGAAAAACAAACAACAGTTTGGATATACGGATGAACATTATTTACAAACGATTGTATTTCTTTGTTCAGTCAAGAATTTTTCAAGTTTTGTAATGAGCTTTGAGTAAATGGGTTCAGAAACCCAACATGTGTGCAATTTTTTTAAAGGGGTCTTGCTAACACACCGTATTAACCTTCAACTTTATATATTTGTTGTCTTGTAAAATAACCACACAAACTAATGTTTCTGGATTGTGATTTACCCGCGCTGCATCGCGCGGGTACACCACTAGTATATATATATATATACACACACACACCCTTAATTGCACAAAGACTCCAAATCAAGAACCCGACTACAACAATTTTCTAGGTAATTTTATTTAAAATATATAATATTTATATACGACAAATGCAACAAATAACACACTTTCTCCTCATTTTTAATGAGATCTGAACCCCTGACCTCTTAAAAAGCATTAAATCAAAGCCCCTTTGATATTTTCTAGGTATTTATATGCGCACAATCAGAGCAGAAGTGATGATAGATACTATGAACATGTTATAATTAGTTTTTTTTTTGGGTTGATTCTACTTTTGAGTTTCTAATCATATTGTAATCCTAAGAGTGATTCTCTCCTAATTGGTTAGACCGTAGATGCGATGATTTACTTCACGGGCGAGGTCTTTGGTTCAAATCCAGGATGGCCCAACTACGCTGGGGAAAAGAATAGAAGAAGCGTCCGACTCCTTCATGCATGCTCCACTTAGCTCGGGAGGATATAGCTCAGTTGGTAAAGCTCCGCTCTTACAATTGGATCGTTACGATTACAGGTTGGATGTCTAATGGTCCAGGCTACATGACCTATCAGCCGACTTATGTCATACAAAAATACGTAAACCTCTTATCAAAATATGAAATAAAAGTTGATTTTGGCCGTTTTACAAGACCAAATATTCTTTAACCCGTTTAATCTCTTAAACAAGTCGAGAAAATGATGCAAGCTCACCTTTTTATTATAATCAATCACATGTGATACTATAACTCATCATATACGATACATATGTGATACTGACTTTTACTATAATCAATCACATGTGATACTGGAGAAGCGGGAGGTTGCTCACGCCCACACACTAGGCTCACTCGCGTGTAGTGTAATACTCTAATCCATTAGATATAATACACATGTAATACTAAATCACTGACTCCAAACGACCTTGGGCCAACCACCACATGCCTTCACATGTATTTCGTGATGAGAGTTCTCATGAAATAAAAGGTGTTGTCATTTTAATCTCCCCCAAATGGCCCTCTAAAGAGTTGGTTTGCATGACCAAGGTTAAAAGGCCAGCTTATACATTTCACACCTATCATGAGCTCTTTATTCTCCTACCAACTTCAATTACACCAAACCGCCTGCGATACACCAACTTCAACAAGGGCTATAACCAGATGCAGTTTATACTGAAAGGTGTTCGACAAAATGCCTGATAGAGCTTTCAACCCATTATCACATGGTTGCAACTCAAAGCTATAATCAACAAAACCCAAAACATCATTTGCATATTTACAAACATATGATTCTCAAGTTGAACCATGAAAAATTGATGAAGTAAGCTCCTAAAATCCAACCAACTTCTCAGTGTTTCAATGGCGGTGGCTGAACAAACGGCTTCTTCTCCACCTCCACCCCCACCGATTTCAGCGACTCGCTCTGCGGCTTCGGATGCCTACAATTTCCAAAATCAACATAAGTTGCACACTTCAAATTACCTCTACAAATTTGCTTAATTTTCCAACTACTTTTTTCCACATTACATGGCGTAGGTATCCCCACGAATCGGATCAGGAACGATATCCTGACGATCTGCATCCTGCACATGTGCAATCTTCCTGAAGAATGACTTCTTGATGAACTCGTCGGACTCATCCGCCACCTTCTCCGGCTCCACCAGCTCCGGCAACGACTCCCTCTTCGACTTCTTCACGAAAACATTTGGCGATCTTTTCAGCTGATGGGTGGCCGTGAATACTCCGATGCTAACCGATAACATGATCAACCCTAGCGAGATATACACCGGTACATACTCTCCTTTCACCGCCCTAATTTTCCCCCAAATTTCAGCAACTAAATTGGAAACACATTCACATTCAATTTGTGTTCAATTGAACTGTAACGTTACCTGGGTTTCCGATCTTGGTGGCCATAGCCATGATCGGCGGCAGGGGAGTAAGCTTTCATCTTAGGGGAGGTTGATGTTGCAAATGCTCTGGTGCGATCCACCATGGTTTTCATCAAATTCTGCAATAAATCAGCAATTAGTTAAACGTACACACAGACGAACAATTCTTGAAAATGATCGATATGGTGCCGATTATCATTGTAGCAGAAAAAGGCAGGATGATGACTTACAGTTGCTCTGAAAGCCATTGAAGAACAGTTTGATTGTGGTCTGAATTGTTGCGGTTTCTTGGTGGGAAGTTGAAGGGCTGTGTGTATAAATGGCGAAAATAAGGAGACACGTAGGAGACACGTGGCGTCGAGCAAATGAGTAGATGATTTTCGGTGGAGATCTATGGAAGAAACACGTCGACTTCTTCTTGACAGTTCTTGGACCAACTCTCTTCTCTCGCCAATCAAAAACTTAAATCGTATTTTATTTTGATAAAATGCGCGAATTAACAATTTTTTTATTATAATATTGTATTTTTAGTTTTTTTATTACAATAATATATTTTTAAATTATTTTTTATTAGAATTTTGTATTTTCAAAAATTACCTGGTATAACATTAAGTAACATTTTAAATTAAATTTATTCATTATACCAGGTTTTTTATCACTTCATCGTTTACGTAGACAACATGTATAACAGTGCTGAATGACATTTTCTTATTATAGAATTGTACTTTCAAAATTATTGTATTATAACATTATTAATTTATATTACAGTAGCTTATTTTTAATTTTAATATTTTCAACATTTAAACATTGTAAATTTAATCAAGTATGTTTACTAAAAATTGTAATATCAGAAATTAAACATGTTTACGAAAGATCACTATTTCACAAATAAAAATATTCATAAAAACAATTCGTTCATCGTAAATTTCATGACTTACTTTGTAATGCCAAAAACTAAGCAAGTGGAACATCTTAAAAAAAAAAAAAACTCAATTCGTCTTAACAATGAAATTTAGAGGAACCAGTCCTGGAACTACAGTAAAAATGAGTGTTGAAGTAAACTCCAAAGGAAAGACTTACTTTCAACGCTTCTATATATATTGAGAAAGATGAAGAAGATAGTAGTTGTGACAAGGTGGTTTCATTTATCAAATGTATTTCATCATAATAAAAGACATTTATTATCGACTCATTTTGATATCCGAAACCGTTACCTCACAAAATAAATAAGGTTGGTAATCGTTACCGATAAACACTTGTCTAATAAATATCTGTCATTCACGAAACATCTGAAATTTATATAATTTATGATCTATAAACTGTAGCATCTAAAAATAAAATACCATTTGTTTTATATTATTTACAAAAATATGTAAATATTTAAAAATTTTAATTATTAATTTACATATATTTGTTTATTATATGTATTTTTTGAGAAAAAAATGGAGATGGAATAATAATGGGATTAAAGGGTTAAAGGATTAAAGGATAGGGATTCTTGAGTTTTCTGGAGATTTCTATAATCATCCTCGACATGAAAGGATATTTGCTTTTCCGGATGTCTTCAATTTTTTTAATATTTTTTTATTAACCTGGATATCTAACCTGTTATGCGAGCCGATTAATTCCAAGACGTCCACCTATTTTGCAGATAGTCCGGAGTCATCATATTTGAACATCCGTGGTTACAAGTGGATTTTTATTTCTCATTGGATTTGAACCTGATACCTCATGATACTTTTGACCTTTGAAACTAAACTCAAACCAATGAGGCACTACCCTCGTGATTAATTTTTTTAATACTTTTTTATGACTATTTTAAAATTATTTGATTTTTTTTATACTTTAAGAATTTCGGTTCTATAGGATTTATTAAGCTTGTCAAAGTATAAAAAAGTGGTCTTATAATGAAACAAAGGAAGGTTCAAAGGAAAACCATAAAAAAATAAAACATTAACTAACATTTTTGCATCCCTTGGATTAAAAAAAACTAAAAGTTAATATGGTAGTGGTGATACTTGTAAATATTTAAAACAAAAGGGAGATTTACATATAGATAGTGTTCGAATCTAAGTGCTATTCTGGAAGAGAAAAACGAAAGAGGTTATGCCTCCTACGAATTCGCCACAGTCTTTTCATGTTATCTCGTTCGGAAATGATTCTAGAGATTGAAGAAGATAACGATACTGTGATTGAAGAAGATGGGTGCTCGTGCGAATAAGTCTTCTTGGTGAGTCTGCAAGAAGGAAGTCTCTCCTCAAGATTATTCACGGTGAATGGGATGCTGAAATTAGATGTTCATGGTTGTATGCACATTTGTGTGCATAACATGTTCATCGTCTTCATTTTCTAGATGTTGAAATTGGATTCAATTATCCATCTATGAAAATCTATGTTTTCTAGGCTTAATGCATGCGTCAGTACAAGGAGGAATTCAAGCCTTTATCTTTTTAATATGTGTTTGTTTTATTTTTGCACACGTGAATACATGAGAGAAATTCAAGGATTCATCCTTATCTCTCTGTACTATGTTATTCTAGGTTCTATGCACACGTGAATATGATGAACAGGGTGTCTCATTCACTTGTTCATGCTACCAAAAAAATGGAAGACACTGAACGATGGTGTCTCATTTACATGTTGCATTCGACCTAAAAAAATGAAGGACTTTGAATTTCGTGATTAATTCATATGTGCATACAACCCCATAAAATGAAGGACGGACAATACGATGACTCATTCACACGTGCATGGAGCCCATAAATTGAAAAATGATGAATACGGAGATTCATTCACATGTGCATGCAACCCATGAATCGAAAAACGACGAACGTAGTGATTTATGCACATATGCATATAATGTAGAAGTTGAATGAATTAATCCCTTACATAATATCTTTTTGTAGACTGTGAAATATTTTTTGTAGATATTTTTAATATCTTTAAAATAGAAAATCTTGCCGTTGAGTGTAATTTCATTTAGTGATTTTAACTTTTTTTTATATATTAAAGAAATTATAGATATCCTGTTGTAGATGCTGTTAGTGGACCATTTACCAAACACTTACCGAGTAAGTCCTTACCGACAAAAGTCACAACTTTTACGTACTTCATCTGGAAGCATTCTTGGCTTTTAATACAGATTGTTGGTAAGCGTCTTTTACCGAGTAAACGCTTACCAGGTAATAGTCTTCTCCCTTACTTATCAAGTGAAATTCTCGGTTCTTGATAAGCCTCTTAATGGTTAAGATTCTAAGCTTTGTCATACTCACCCGGTAAGGTAAGTGACACTCAATAACAGCTTACCTGGTAAGAGTTTGGTAAACGACCCCTATAGTAACAATTACATGCACACATGTCACATCAATAATGATAAGGTTCAAATCATTTTAAAATTTGAAAAAAAGGCGCAACCAACAATGTAATACAATATGCTTGCAAACGGAACAGAAAGGAACAAAATAGAAAACACACGTCACACAGTTCCTATAACACAAAGGACTCGTACGGAAAAACATCAACCTCACCATAGCTGATGATACAATAGATGTTCTAAAACAAGCAAACCCAAAAAGAACTGGTAATAAAAAAGCTATTTATGATACCATAAGTCCAAGAATACATAAAGTAACACCCATAACAGATATTATCATATGATGACAGACTTTAGTCGATGCGTAATTCTTACGAGGAGTATGATTTATCGATCCACCTCCGCTTCCTCTCCCCCCTTTTTGCCCCTTAGCAATAGACATCATATCATGTTTCATGGATTCCTGGTTGCTATTCCAAGTTATTGTCTCTAACCCTGCACAGTAATAAACCATATGATATCCATTACAACTTTTTCGTACAATTATAGGTCAATCTGATTAGGACGTCAAAAAAATAAAACCTACGAAGTCTTACCGCGAGATTCTTGGACTAGAGCTAGGCTTTTTGAACGTTCAATCGCTGCGTTTCCAAGAGCCAATCTCGATGGAATTTGCGAAGAAAAGAGAACGATGAGTAACCAACAAAGAATATTTAGCTTTATTCTCTCCATTTCGATTAGGTCTCACTAGATAGAAGTAAATGCATATATAGGAATGCTGGACAGTGACAGGGATCGATTCTGTTTAAAAAGCATCTCCTTTTTATTATTGGAAAGAAAATGAAAAAGAAATTGTGAACTAATTGACACTTTATTCCGAACGTTGAATTTTATTATTATTTTATTATAATATTAATAGTCACATTTATAATATTGGAATTGGAAATGAAAAGCCATTGTAAAATGAAAAGCCATTGTAAGGTTGCATTTGGTTCTCTTTTGTTTATGGTTGTGTGCTATGAAATGATTCCAATTCTTTCTACTTTTGTTGCTTTTGGCAACAAATACAAAGTTAAGGGGGGTTAAATGTAAATATTTAGGAACCAAAGTAAGCAAGAGTTTATATGATGGAATAGTGAATGTACCAAAAGGAATATGATGCCCATTTTTTTAATTAACCTGGATATCCAATTTGTAATGCGAACCGACTAATTCTAGAGCTACCACCTGCTTAGTAGATAGTCCGAAGTCACCGCATTTGAACCTCCGTGACCACAAGCGAATTTTTATTCCTCTTTGAATTTGAACTTGTAACCTCCTGGTACTTTTGACTTTTGGAGTCAAGCTCAAACCAATCAGACACCAACCACCCTTGTGGTTTGATGCCCATTTTTCTTAAGAGGATAAACATGAAGATTTGAGTCTTGTTTTTGGAGGTAGGGTCTAATAAGGAATCAAAAGGCTTAAAATCCTTTTTATCGGAATTATGGATATTACTTTTGAATAGAACTCAGGACACCTTTTTTGAGAAAAAACTGATGGTCGAGAAAATTAGTTTGCCTTCAAAAGAATATCTTTGGTAACATCAAGATTCTCTTAGGTGGCGTTGCATGGACTGAACATGAATGAACTGTACATGACAAGAGAACAACACTGGATTAAACATGATGATATATACAACAGTGGAGCAAACATGATTGAATATGACATGTTGCTTGTATGGATTTTTGCATGACTAGGACTGAACAGGTTTGGGGTAGGACAAGTTGCCTCTAAATATCGTTTAGTGATTTTGTAGGTGGTTATTGGCAATAGAGGAAGAGGAGATGGTGATTGTGGCCAAGGCCAGGGGCGGACTTACCATGTAAAAGGTGGGGGGAAGGGCCCCCATTAAAAAAAAAAAAGAATTTTCCTAAGGTTAAAAGTTGTCTTTTTACTTTCTACCATGGTTCTCCTCAGTGATTTCTTGTTAAGGCCCCCACCAACTAAAGAAAGTTTCTTGAAATCAATCAAAAAACTGAAAAGTTCTTCGAAATCGATAAAAAAACCCCTTAAAAAATCCCTCGAAATAATCTAAAAAAACTTCAAAAATCTCTTGGAATGGTAGAATTAGACTAAAAACACATCAGACGACTTTGTGAGTGTTTAAGCTACCTTAAAGGTGCCCCCACTAGACCAAAATCCTGGATCCACCATTGGCGAAGGCGCATGTGGTCAATGGTGGTGGTTGGTGGCTGATGGTTGTTGTGGATGACTCGGAGATGGTGGTGCGGCATCTGATAGTGGTGGATATGTAGGTGGAAGGTGGTTGTGGAGCAGGTAGAGGATGGTAGCAATTTAATCAAATATCATATTAGAGTCCATCGCCGACCACCATGGCCACCTCCACTACTATACACCTCCTCCGTAACCATCGTCGACCACCTCCACTACCACCTCCTCTTCCTTCCTACCTTCCGGTCCTCTCCAATCTCGTCCACTTCAATCATGTCTACATACCAAACGCTACCTCCTGTTTCACGATTATACGAGAAGATAAAAATCATGTATGCATCCCCATTGGCAGAGGGGCGGTGCCCGAGCACACATATGGACCATACCGAACCTTTACCGCTAGAATAGATGACTCTAGAGTTGCATTTCAAATTGGTGTTGTCCAATACCATTCAAAACTAAATATATCTCATCAGTTTGAGGATGCAAATCATCACCTGCTACAAACTCATGTGTGACACCATCTAATTGAATCAAACTGCATCCAGCATTCTTCTTCACCCTCCTGGAATCCCTCAATCTCCTTATCTTGGTTAAATCATCCCAACGCTTTGCATTTGCATAAATGTCAGCCATGGATGAATAAACTCCACCATCTTCAGGACTTATCTCCATAATTTGCTCAGCAGCTTTCTCTGCAACTTCAACATTCCCATGAAGCCTACACCCTCCAAGCAAACTTCCCCAAACGAAAACATCACCGGCCATTGGCATGGTTTCAATCATGTTTGTGGCTTCTTTGATCAAACCAGCCCGGCTAAGCAAGTCTGCCATGGACCCGTAATGCTTGAGCTCTCTATGAACCCCATAGACCGACTCCATCTCTCCAAAGAGTCTTCTTGCTTCATCGATAAGACCAGCATGGCTGCAACCTACCAAGACTCCAAGAAAGGTCACCCCATCTGGTTTAACACCGTTCTTGACCATTTTGGAGAAATAACTTAGTAACGTTTCACCATGGCCGTGCATTGCTAACCCAACAAGCATTGCATTCCAAGTGAACAGATTTTTATAAGGGGTAGCTTCAAATATATCTCTAGCTGTCTCTATGAACCCACATTTGGAGTAGAAATCAACTAATGCTGTACACAAGAACGAATCTACTTGAATTTTACTTTGTTTGATATGATTATGGATTTCGGTCCCTTTTTCTAGTTTTCCTACTCGTCCACAAGCCGATAGAACCGAAACCAATGCTATGTTGTCGGGTCGAATCCTAAGAACAAGCATTTGATCATATAGATCCAAACACTCGTCGTATTGTTTCGATTGTGCATAACCAGCTAACATTGTACCCCACGTTGCCACATCCCTAACAGGCATTTCATCAAACACTTGACGAGCACGTCCGGTTTCTCCTGCCTTCACCAACCCATCAAGGATAACATTATAAGAAACAACGTCTCTGTCAGGACTTTCATCAAACACCTTGTACGCATCATCAATACAACTACAGATACAATACAAATGAATAAGATTGTTACAGACGAACACGTCGATCGCAAACCCGAACTTCAAGGACTGAGACTGAATGGTTTTCGCAAGAGAAAGTTGACGGAGCTGTGCACAAGCTTTCAGGACAAAAGGGAAGGTGTGGGCGTCCGGAGGCAGGCGTCGCCGCCGCATTTGGACAAAGAAAAAGATTGCGTTTTCAGGGAAAGAGAGGAGAGTGTGGGAGCGAATGATGGTGTTCCAAGAAAAAGTGGAAGGATAGGTGATGAGGTTGAATAGAGAGAGGGGGTAGTGGATTGAAATGGGGTGGTGGCGATGGTGTGGCGGCGGTAGAGGGGCGGAGAGGAGGGAGTTGAAGGTATGGAGGATGGTGGTGAGTAAAGGAGAGGTGGATGAAGGGTGGAGAGAAAGAAGGCCTCTGGTGATGATCTGGGCATGGATTTGGTGGATTTCCTTGATCGATTTGCAATGGTTTTTGAGAATTCGTATAAGATCTGTTGATTGTTTGCAAAAGATCATCGGTTTCCAGTCTCATCTTCCTGGGTTTGAAAAGCTCACCGGATGTTTCTTTCTTTCAAATTCCATTGTTTTTCCTGAACATCAAAAAAATCCGAGGGGTGTTTCGATTGTTTATTTGAAACAATACAAAACTGCTTATCAACTTACTAGTTGTGTATCCATGCAATACGGCAGGAGCCATAAATTTTAACGATTTTGAAGTTCCATCGGTTTTATAAGATAAGATTTAATGATGATATATGTTACACTTGGTCTTTACATATTAATATAATTTGAATAAATAAGAGTTGTGGTTCCAATTACAGATTATCGATGAAAAAAATTGTATGACAATTTAAAATCCAATATATTTAAAATCCAACATATTTAAACGACTCCACAAATGTGTTCGATTTACACCAAGAACAAAGAACCAAGAAACTTAAGTTTTAAGATAAACACTCAAAACCAATAAAAAAATTACAAATTTGACAGATCATAAGCCATGAAAAGACCAAAAAAGATGAGTTTTAGAATTAAATTTCAACTGCTTACCCTTTTTCTTGTCCAGAAACTCAGATTAAGTTGAATTAATACATGTATATATATATTTCAAAAAAAACTCAAGAACATATTAATTCAGAACATATTATACAGTGCAATTTAGACTGCATAACCCCAAAATATATAATATATATATAAATAAATAACTATAAAAGTATAAATCGTAAATATTAAAAATATTTTTTCGCAGTATATATAACATATAATAATATAATTAAGTAAAAAACTATTCAATATTTGACTCATTTCGAAGATATTAACGAGACGATTATAATGATGTAACTTGTTAAAATAAAAATGTATTTTTTAAACATGTTTTAATTGATATACAATTATGTATATTAATTTGATAAATGTTTAAAATGAAACATTTAAAAGTAAAAGACGTAAAGTAAATTAATTAACTAATTATAGGAGTATAAAGTGTAAATTTAAAATTATAATTTTAAAAAAAATCGGTTGTGAGATGGTGAGTGTATGTGAGGAGAGGAAGGGGTGAAAACGTGAAAAAATGATATAAAGGGTATCTTGGTCATTTAATATTTTAAGACTTTAAGACTTTTGTTAAATTTGCTTTATAAGATAGTATAGATTATAAGTTAGAATTGTTTAACTTCTTCAAAAACTTCTTATTACCGGTTTGACACCGGTATAAGTCGTTTATCCAAACACTTAAAAGTGCTTATTATTGGTGTCACAACAGAATAAGTTAATAAGTTGTTTTTATAAGCAATCACAAACACCCCCCCCCCCTAAATTTATATACAGTTTGAATGTATTTGCAAGAGAAAGATGAACGACGCGCGGGTCGGAAATCACACTAAGGAGCCGTTTATCAAACACTTATCCGGTAAGTGCTTACCGGTAAAATTTAACAGTATTATTTACTTACCGGATAAGATTTCAGTCCACCAAAACGACATCGTATGCAACAATTTGCCCGGTAAACGCTTACCGTGGTAAGAGTCGTCGCCCWCACTTACCGGGTAAGACTCTCGGTCCTTGTCTCGCTCTTACCGGGTAAGATTTTCGGTTCTTACCATATTCATCCGGTAAGGTAATGTTACTTGGTAAGCACTTACCCGGGTAAACGTTTGGTAAACGACCCATTAAGTAAGATAAAATGTTATACGATATTTGTTTGTTTACCTCTTAATAGTTTCATTAACAGGCAGCCTTTGAATTGTTAAGAGGTGAATCTTGTTTGATAAAAAAAAGTCTGTTTCTTAATGGTTTTAAAACCTGAATGATATTGTATTCTAGGCATCCTAATCATTCAACAACTGTCAAACAACCATTAAGATGAGTAGAAAATACATTTACATTATATCATGAGAACCTCTTAATCATTCAGTAACTGCCAAACAACCCTTAAAACGAGTAGAAAATAGAGAACAAAAACACTATATCATGAAAGCCTCTTAATCATTCAAACAGTCCTCAAAATGATTAGAAAATAGAGAACAAAAACCGTGGACGGCAGGATTCGAACCTGCGCGGGCAGAGCCCACATGATTTCTAGTCATGCCCGATAACCACTCCGGCACGTCCACTCTTTTATGTTGACTCATTTTAGTTTTACCTTTTTAATAATAGATATGTAATTACTATTATTATTTTATAATATTTATATTATAAAACTACTATATAAAAATGGAATTTTCGTTCCTATTTTAGATAATCAGTTTTTAGAACATTTACTGTTGGAGTCTAAAACTAAAGTTAACAAACATTAATTTTATTTACCAAATGATATTTGACCTACCGTTATCATAGTCTTTAGCTTTCAAGGATATTAGGGGTTTAAATCTCACCAAAGGTGAAGAGGGTGTGTGAGTTTATTTGTTGCATTTACCGTATGTAAATATTATATACTGCAAAAAAACTTTAATTTTATCTATTTTGATGCAATTTTTTTAGGGAAATTTATAAAAATAACCGGTTTACACAACCATTTGCCACAAAATAACCACATTTTAGAGGTTTTACCAGAATGACCACACGGATCGCCCCCGGGGCGATCCGTAATGTACAGGGGAGATCCTGGGCGATCCGAGTTTTTTTTTTTCTTCGTATTTTTAATAAAACTGATACGTCATTGAAGTTGTATTTTTTAACATTTTTAGAACCAAATTTCATGGGTAAAGGTTTAAAAATAAACCTTTATAATTATGGAGAAACAAAAATTATTTTTATCTGTTTTGGGTTTCGTAAATCAGATATAATATCTGATTGACGAAATTTGACCTCTATTTTGTCATTTTGTGTTTTTTATTTAACNAGACGTAAAGTAAATTAATTAACTAATTATAGGAGTATAAAGTGTAAATTTAAAATTATAATTTTAAAAAAAATCGGTTGTGAGATGGTGAGTGTATGTGAGGAGAGGAAGGGGTGAAAACGTGAAAAAATGATATAAAGGGTATCTTGGTCATTTAATATTTTAAGACTTTAAGACTTTTGTTAAATTTGCTTTATAAGATAGTATAGATTATAAGTTAGAATTGTTTAACTTCTTCAAAAACTTCTTATTACCGGTTTGACACCGGTATAAGTCGTTTATCCAAACACTTAAAAGTGCTTATTATTGGTGTCACAACAGAATAAGTTAATAAGTTGTTTTTATAAGCAATCACAAACACCCCCCCCCCCTAAATTTATATACAGTTTGAATGTATTTGCAAGAGAAAGATGAACGACGCGCGGGTCGGAAATCACACTAAGGAGCCGTTTATCAAACACTTATCCGGTAAGTGCTTACCGGTAAAATTTAACAGTATTATTTACTTACCGGATAAGATTTCAGTCCACCAAAACGACATCGTATGCAACAATTTGCCCGGTAAACGCTTACCGTGGTAAGAGTCGTCGCCCACACTTACCGGGTAAGACTCTCGGTCCTTGTCTCGCTCTTACCGGGTAAGATTTTCGGTTCTTACCATATTCATCCGGTAAGGTAATGTTACTTGGTAAGCACTTACCCGGGTAAACGTTTGGTAAACGACCCATTAAGTAAGATAAAATGTTATACGATATTTGTTTGTTTACCTCTTAATAGTTTCATTAACAGGCAGCCTTTGAATTGTTAAGAGGTGAATCTTGTTTGATAAAAAAAAGTCTGTTTCTTAATGGTTTTAAAACCTGAATGATATTGTATTCTAGGCATCCTAATCATTCAACAACTGTCAAACAACCATTAAGATGAGTAGAAAATACATTTACATTATATCATGAGAACCTCTTAATCATTCAGTAACTGCCAAACAACCCTTAAAACGAGTAGAAAATAGAGAACAAAAACACTATATCATGAAAGCCTCTTAATCATTCAAACAGTCCTCAAAATGATTAGAAAATAGAGAACAAAAACCGTGGACGGCAGGATTCGAACCTGCGCGGGCAGAGCCCACATGATTTCTAGTCATGCCCGATAACCACTCCGGCACGTCCACTCTTTTATGTTGACTCATTTTAGTTTTACCTTTTTAATAATAGATATGTAATTACTATTATTATTTTATAATATTTATATTATAAAACTACTATATAAAAATGGAATTTTCGTTCCTATTTTAGATAATCAGTTTTTAGAACATTTACTGTTGGAGTCTAAAACTAAAGTTAACAAACATTAATTTTATTTACCAAATGATATTTGACCTACCGTTATCATAGTCTTTAGCTTTCAAGGATATTAGGGGTTTAAATCTCACCAAAGGTGAAGAGGGTGTGTGAGTTTATTTGTTGCATTTACCGTATGTAAATATTATATACTGCAAAAAAACTTTAATTTTATCTATTTTGATGCAATTTTTTTAGGGAAATTTATAAAAATAACCGGTTTACACAACCATTTGCCACAAAATAACCACATTTTAGAGGTTTTACCAGAATGACCACACGGATCGCCCCCGGGGCGATCCGTAATGTACAGGGGAGATCCTGGGCGATCCGAGTTTTTTTTTTTCTTCGTATTTTTAATAAAACTGATACGTCATTGAAGTTGTATTTTTTAACATTTTTAGAACCAAATTTCATGGGTAAAGGTTTAAAAATAAACCTTTATAATTATGGAGAAACAAAAATTATTTTTATCTGTTTTGGGTTTCGTAAATCAGATATAATATCTGATTGACGAAATTTGACCTCTATTTTGTCATTTTGTGTTTTTTATTTAACAATTAAGGGGTGTTTTTAATACATAAAGTGTGTCTTTTTACGTATTTAATTTTAAATTTCACGATTTTTCGTTATAAAATAACCGGATGATAATTGTTGTATTTTTTTAATTACAGTACGGATCGCCCCGGGGCGAGGTCAAACACGGTCAACGAGAATGAACAGTAATCTCGACTTTTGAGGAATTTTTTTTTTAAACTTAATGGGGGATCGCCCCCGTAGTGTACAGATCGCCCCCGGGGGCGATCCGTGTGGTCATTCTGGTAAAACCTCTAAAATGTGGTTATTTTGTGGCAAAGGGTTGTGTAAACCGGTTATTTTTATAAATTTCCCATTTTTTTATGTTGATTTTTTCTTACAATTTATGAAGCGGATGATATATGAATGATGGGAAAATGCCATCTTATATGAAATGTAGATATTCATTAATGCTTGCAAATTGCAATCGATTCGTTGAATTTGTGTTGTAAATCGGACAAAATGCTATGAAACTTAACTTAAAAGTCAGTTTACTAAAATGCTTATTTGATAAGTGTTATTAGTAAGAATCAACACTCTCACAAAACTTATTGGATAAGATTCTATTACATCAAAGCAATATCGTATGCAACAGTTTATCTTGTAAGAACTAACCAGGTAAGACTTACTGAGTAAGACTATTGGTCCTTGTCATCGCTCTTACCGGGTAAATTTTTTACTATTTATCATGTTTATCCGGTAAGGTAAGTGACCCGGTAAGCGTTTACCGGATAAGCATTTGGTGAACGACCACTTACTTTTTATTTAGTGTAACGATAAATATTTTCCTTAATTAAACTAACACATATTTAATTTTCTTTTTAATTTGTGTATATTTGTTTAGTGCTAATCAATAAATCATGTAACCACTAGTAATGTAAATGTCACGTTGTTAAATTATATTACAGTTAACTACAATGGTTGTGACGTATACGTAGTGGTTGAGGTTTTGGGGATGTTGTGAAATATCTTATCTGTTTAGGGTTCGATTTCAGATGTATACAACAATTATGGTCATTATGTTTATCAGGATTGATTTCATACAGTCATAATTTACCGGAATTAGTTCAGGCAAGTCTAGTTTCTTGTTATGCCTCTCACCGGCTAAGATCCTCAGTCATTTTCAAGTTCAATCAATAGGTAAGTGACACATGATAAACACTTATCCAGTAAAAATTACCCTTAAAATAAAAATACCAACACTTATTTTAGGAAAGAAGATAGTATATATATATATATAGAGAGAGAGAGAGAGAGAGAGAGAGAAAGAAAGAGATGAGAGATCAAATGAAAACCACTCCAATTTGTAAAAACCATAAAAACTACTTTCATCCGTCGATTTCATTGTTTAATTTTATGAAATATTTTCATGAAATTGTTTAATCTTGTGAAATTGTTTCATATAATACTTTTTTTGATGAAGTTGTTTCATATATGGTTATGAAATTGTTTCATATACTAGTTAATGAAATTTTAATGAAACCGTTTCATGTATTTCTCTAAAATTAAAATAATGAAGATGACAAAAAATAAATTGTTTCATTATTAACCCTAAATTAAATTATATCAAAAAAATATCTCAATTAATTAGGTTGCATTGGTTGTA